TCTATCTATCTATCTATCTATCTATCTGTCTATCTATCTGTCTGTCTGTCTATCTATCTATCTATCTATCTATCTTTTTATTGCAGTGTCAGATTTACTGCTGCAACAACATCAAGAATATCTGCCTCCATCCAGCCAATGCCTAGAACCAAGTCTATGCCCTACTTTTTTTTTCTTTTTTTTCTCGATAATCCATTTCATTCAGATGTGCATCTCAATTCAGAAGAAAAGTCGCTACTTCACTGCAACTTTAAGTCTTGTACTTTGTCTGTACAGTATGCATTTTTAATGTCTATTTCCTGGCCCTGTGTTTTTCCACTGTAAATGCCTTAAAGTACCAATGATTATCATTTTCTGTGGTAATCAACGTTATTCCAGATGCTGTCAACGGAGCTTAACTCACATTCAACCCACAACATGGCTATGGACTGATGCGGTTCTGTGGAGTCACGTCCGCTTGTGGCACTCCACGAACCATCAACCTTTAAATTAATAATACCTTTAGATATTGAACGGTGGACACCATTTGAATCTTGAGAACATCGGTCTGTTGAAGTGGTTTGATTGTAGATTATATTTGCTGGTTGCTCTAAAACGTTCCGGTGTTCTCGTCCTTTAGAGCTGAAAAGCACTTATTAGCATTTCAAGTTATGAATATGTGCAGTCCTGCCATGCATGTTTCTATACAGATGAAGATATGGTTATGTTTGGGGAACCGATGCTGAGCGAAGATTGTCTTTTAACAGCAAACTGTGCAGCGCTCTAATACCGCAGGATATGATGTCACAGGAGGATGTCAAAGCTGATTTGATGAAAAATCCAACCAGTAGAAAGACTCAGCAATGTGCTTTTAGTCAAAGCCTTGTGTTGCTTTGACTTGCGTTCTCCATCCTGTTTCATTTTTGCTTGTTCTTCAGCAGCTAAAAGCAGGGCTTGGGCATTTTGCTCAACAGAAAATGTGAATAGGTCATCTTATAGAGTTGAAAAAGGCTATCATTCCTTGTTTTTATATCCCACATTTATGGTTGTTAGGTGGGTCATGCACCCTGAGAGCCGATCAGATGACTGCAGAAGAACCAGGAGAAGACGGAGAATTGGAGGACGGTAGATTCCAGAAGAGCCACTTGCGTTTACACTGACGCTTTTGGTACAGGTAATCTTCCTTCTCACGCTCCTTGCGTGCCCGCTGATAGTGATCTTCTTCCTTTAGATACCACACTGGAGGCCAGCGATGTTTCTCAAAGTGCTCCAGGTTTTCTGCAAGACAGAATGAGACCGTGATACCAGCTTAATGCCAAACTAATTTCAGTACTGAGATAACTGTTTGGTTAGGGACGCCTGTCACACTGGAAAAAATAAAATTTTCAGTATTCATATTTTTTGCTTTGCTTTCTAGGAAAAATAGCCAAACATCCCTAAAACAAAAATAAAATAAATGTATTATAAACTAATCAGTCAGTATGCTTTGTTTGATCAAAAATACAATAAAAACACTGTGAAATATTATTACAATTTAAAATGACTCTTTTTTTGAGTTTATTTTAACATAAAATGTAATCCTATAATGGTAAAGCTCAATTTTCAGCAGGCTTTTTGTATTATTATTTATTCACTTTTGATCCTTTTTTTACTAAAATTATATATTTTTTAAAAAGAAATCTTACTGACCCAGACCTTTTGAATGGTTGTGTATAAAGGATAAATTAAATGATTAAATATATATGCTTTGTTTGATCAAAAATACAATAAAAACACTGTGAAATATTATTACAATTTAAAATGACTCTTTTTTTGAGTTTATTTTAACATAAAATGTAATCCTATAATGGTAAAGCTAAATTTTCAGCAGGCTTTTTGTATTATTATTTATTCACTTTTGATCCTTTTTTTACTAAAATTATATTTTTTTAAAAAAGAAATCTTACTGACCCAGACCTTTTGAATGGTTGTGTATAAAGGATAAATTAAATGATTAAATATAGAAATTGTGTTCAATATTAAGAATACATTCAGAGAATATATCTTGAATTAAATGAAGAGTTCATAAAAATCCATTATTTACTCATTATCATGTTGCTCCAAGTCCATTTACCTAGTTTTAATATTAAAGAACATATATGCAGTATAATACATTTAACAATTTCACAGACAGCATCAAATAATGACAATGTAAGCAATCAAACCAACAAAAATATACAAGTGCTGTGACAGATCCCAGTTAGTCTAACGCAGTACACGTAGCAAGGTTTTTTAGAAGGTTTTTTCTACAGAGATAGATATAGATATCCAATAGATAGAGCTAGTTTAGAAGGTCAAGTTATTTTTTTTATAATAATTAAAAAGAAAACGAGTAGAAAAATAATAGAGAACGCTAGTGATAGAGGGTCAAGTTTTTTATGATAAATCAAAACAAGTAGATAGAATAGAATAATAATACAATAAACATGATGATTTTTATCAGTTTCAATGACCAACGCAACTTATTTAGATTAAGACTTTGTCTCATTACAAAAGTCTGTAGCAGAAAAATTTGGCTAATGAAAACATCTGAACAAATGAGCATGACAGGGGTCTCAGTTTTACAGACTGTCATGTCTCAATATTAATTTTGAAGTTAAAATAATTCTTGAAAAATTGGCATTTATACTGATCTGAGGGGCTGTTGAATTACCTGTAGATTTGGCCTTCATGTCTCGAGGGAATTTGCGACAGACTCTGTTGTAGTTGGTGCAGATGTGATGGAGGCACCAGTCAGTCAACTGATGAGCACAGTGGAACTAATGGGAACAATCACACAGAAGAAAACACTATGGAGAAAATCAGATGCTTTGAGTCCCCTCCTAGACCTCTAAACAACTAGTCTATTTGGTTCCTAACCACTCCTAAAACAGAGACTCTTTATTCATATCACTTCAGCCATGTACACACTGCAGCTAAATTTAGTTGTCAATTCACCTTTTAGTTTATATACACATTTCAGTATTTTACTGAGTGACAACCGCATTCTACAGATGAATATTCCTGAAACATTTAGGTAGTAACAAATGTATTTACAGAAATTCTACGCAGTGTGTACAACTGAACAACTAGTTGTTAATGACGTATTTAAACGTGTATCAGAGTTGTGTCTCTCTTCTGTATGAGCAGTGCAAGAAAACACAGGCAAAAAGTACAAGTTTGACTCATTTGTGTTGCCAGATCCTGCAAGAAAAAACAGCAAACAAGAACAATCCCAAACCTAAATAAATCAAAATGCTTTATATGTTAAAAACAGGCAGACAGACAGACAGGTACATGTACATGGTACGCTTACCTGGGCCATGTCCAGATAGAGCAGAACATCTCCATCTATATCAGCTCCCATCATGGCAGCTTCTGTCAGTACCTTCACAGTGTACAGCTCTAGGACAGACACACAACACTCATAAAAACAACAGAATATGTCACCATTATTTTTGGTTTGTATTCTTTGTTAATAAATGACTCCGCAGCACTTTACAATAAGGTTCCATTTGTTAACATTAGATAAAGACCCCGTGTGGTGAAAATCAAGTGTTTAGCGTTGTTTGCATGTCTGTCTGGTGTTTTAATGTTTAAAGACAAACCATGTGCAAATTCATCAGTCAACACCATGGCTGAGCATTTTCTCTTTGCAGTAAACCAAAAAAAGTCTTAAAAACGCAGTTTGAAACCTGGAAGACTAATTCACCAGTGGTTTCTTCACGATTTTTCTATGGGGTGTTATAATGGGGTTTATCCAATTATGTGTGTACAGACACTGACATCCCAAACTGTCTTGTAAGGTTACTTATTAGAAACACAGGCTTTCAAAAATAAACAAAACTGCTTCAAAATTCACGTTTTCAGTACGGGTATATGCAGATTACGTTGTATTGTGTAGTGTTTAGCTTTTACTTTTACGTGTGATTGAGTGGAGATGGGGATTAATTTGCATATTCAAGCCATTTGAGGCATTAACATTATTTTCACAGGGAAAAAAGGGTTTGAACACTGTATGTTATACAGAATATCACATATGAGTTTTAAGGGATTAAATTAGTGCCTGCAGATTTGCATTATTAGATAACATTAACAAATATTAATAAATACTGTAACAAATGAATTGCTCATTGTTAGTTAAATGTTGCTTAATGCATAACTACTGTTAATTAATGGGACCTTATTACAAAATGTTACAATCAACTCTTTATATTTTTGAATTTGGCGGGCACTTTTATCCAAAACGACTTGCACTGAATGCATTCAATATATATATATATTTTTTAAGTTTATGAATTTCCTGGGATCTGAACCCAAAACTTTGCTGTTGGTAGTGTCACGATGTGCTGTTTGAGCAACAAAGGAATATTATCATATTAAGCAGTTTGTTCAATAAAGTTAGCCCTTGAACATATTTTTCATAGTGATCGCTTGATCTGCAGCAGAGGAGTGAATCATGCTGTCTCTGGATGCCAGTGTTGCCATGTTCACTTACATATTAAAAGCGGCTTTGACCGAGTTCTGTTAAAATGCAAGAACTTAATAAAATGTGTACTTTGAATGCAATGTATGGCAAATGTAGGCTAGATGCATATATGTTACAGCCAGGCCATAGAGAAAAGCCAGTCCATGCCCGAATTAGCTTCACATCATGCCAAAAAACACCCCGTAAAGGGATAGTTCACGCAAAAATGAAAATTAACCCATTATTTACTCATCCTCAAGCCATCCTAGGCGTATATGACTTCCTTCTTTCAGATGAATCCAATCGGAGTTATATTAAAAATTGTCTTTGATCTTCTAAGCTGTTTAATGGCAGTCAGTGGGTGTTGCATGCATCAGTCCAAAAGAAGTGAAATAAAGCGCATCCATCCATAATAAAAAGTGTCTCACACGGCTCCGGGGGGTGAACAAAGGCATCCTGTAGCGAATCGATGCGTTTTTGTAAGAAAAATATCCATATTCAAAACGTAATAATCACTTTAATCTAGCTTGCGCCAACAGTTGTACACGGAAGCAGCTCCGGGCGGATGACGTATGAGGTCAGCGTTGCGCATGCGCCGGTGAGTCTCGTGAAAACCAACGTTTGTTTACAGAAGCAAAGGAAGCAAAGTTTCCATACTTTAGCAAAGGAAAGTCAGTCTCCTCTTGGCTTATATCGAAATCCTCCGACATTCTTCTTAACAAATCCTCGATTTGTACTTCTAATAAGTGACCGTTGTTTTGTTTTGATCTCTCTCCTTCGCTTCCGTGTGCATCACTTCTGAGCGGCGCATGCGCAACGCCGACTTCCTACGTCATCCGCCCAGAGCTGCTTCCGTGTACAACAGTGAGCGCAAGCTAGATTAAATTGAATATTACGTTTTAAATATGGTTATTTTTCTTACAAAAACGCATCGATTCGCTACAGGAGGCCTTTGTTCACCCCCCGCAGCTGTGTGAGGCGCTTTTTTATTATGAATGGATGCACTTTATTTCACTTCTTTTGGACTGATGAACTGCAACACCCGTTGACTGCCATTAAACAGCTTAGAAGATCAAAGACTTTTTAAATTTAAAATAATTTTTAATATAACTCCGACTGGATTCGTCTGAAAGAAGAAAGTCATATGCACCTAGGATGCCTTGAGGTTGAGTAAATCATGGGCTAATTTTCATTTTTGGGTGAACTAACCCTTTAAGCATGGTAAAAATCACTGCAATTTGCCATCTGAAGTGACTTGCATTGTATTTCAGTACAAAAGGACACAGTGTAATTTTCAGTCACTGTCTCGCTCCTCAACTCTTGTTAAAGGTCTAAATTTACACAGGATTTGGTTGCCTGCGGAGATCAGACTGTTATGTGCATCATCGTCTCAGGTTTGTTTGTGTACCTGTCAGCGCTACCAGGTGAGGCAGACAGAGACGGTTTGCAAGAACAATGAGTTCCATGGCATCCAGATCTGGGCGAGAGCAGAAGCAGCCAGCATAGAGATACTCCAGCACAGCACGCATGCAGCTCCGCGTAGTGTTTGGAAACAGCACCTGACAAAACACAGCAACAAACTCAAAGAGGCTTTTTCAGGGGAATAAGAACTCAGTGTTAAAGAACAGTATGATTAGAGTATGCTGTCTTCATTAGTAAAGTTCAACTTTAAGCTTATGTTAACATTCTGACATACAATGGGGTCCAAAAGTATTGCATAAGCACTCCATGTTTTCAGTGTCTAAGTATTTGTTTTGTCCTACTTGACAGCAGAAATCAAGCAGCATGAAATCCACAAGTTAAATATAAAACCCAATGTTTAAATTTTTCACCATGATCTAAAGAGCATCTTGAGCTTCAGTGGAAGCTCAAGAATATCTGACCATCACGTCACAAAACTACTTATTTGGTTAGTGCCCTAGAAATTGTGCAAAATCTGAAATATACAGTATTTATTTTACTTCATTATTTTCCTTTGTTTGATTTTTTTAAATCCTAAAAGTTCAATTTTTTTACAGGTTCAAATCTCAATTTTTAAATCTCAAATTTTCATTGTGGTCTTAGATATTTGGGCCCCACTATATATGATGGGAATACTCATTTGTATTGATTTTTCATACATGGTAAGCTTATTTATTATTTCAGATTGCTAGATATAGCATTAGAAATGAAGGGTTAAAACTAGATCAAGACCAGATGTTAAGAGGAATTTTCTATTTGTCTCTCAAAAATAATGTTACTTCATTCTAAGAATAAAAGTCAATAGATTGTTCAACACAGTATAATTTTAGTATCACTGAAATACTATTATAGTTTTTAATAAAAAAATTATTTTATTCTTATTTTTTATTTTTAGTCTTATTTTCTATTTTTATTTTAATTTTGGTTAGTTAATTTTATTGTGTGTTTTGTTATTTGTATTTATTTATTTTTATTCAGTTTTATTTAAGTTATTTTAGTATCATTTTAGTATCAAGCTAAACTAAACGAAAATGAGAAATGTTACCTTGGCATCAAGCTCAAATAAAATAAGTTTTAGGGTTTCTTTTTATTTTATTTATTATTGCTTTAGTTTTAGTTAATTATTATAACCCTGGTTCAACATCATCACTTGTGTCACAAATGTCCTATCATCTCTACTTGCTCCAGATATTACAAAATTAAATCACCCGCTTAGTTATTTATCTCCTTCTATTCTTTCCAATTTGAATACATAGAAATCACAGATGTTCATCAGGTTCCTGTCAAAAACTACATCAGTTCATGTTAGACAAACTGTGAAATTGTACACAGTGTGACCATTAAAATACACACCACAAATATAATCTTTAAAATCTCAGTGTTCCCAGTGGTACTGGTTTAGACATATTGTGAGCGCACTGTACCTCTTTTGTACAACTCTCCACAAATGGTCCACCAAACATGGCTGCCATCCAATCACAGCTTGAGATAAGCAGTGGTTTATGGGCCATGATGGTGCCATCATCCAACCTGAACACCACATCTGCAAGAAAGAACAGACAAACTTCTGTAGCTTTTCAAATCACTATTATAATAATACGTTGTATAACATGCCATATAAACATATTCTACTCTCTGGTAAATCAACATACATAGCGAATCCGATGCTGAAATGAAGTGATCATCTTGACAACTTAAAAGGCACTCTGTGGCAGTGGCTTGACATTACATTCCACTAAAGCACAATCATAGTGCTAGAGTGAAGGATAAATAAATAGAAATGCTCAGTGTTTATGTTTGAAGAGGGAAAAGCTCGGTCAGCATTGCAAGACAGCTTGATGTCCTCCAAATCCTGACAGTGCTGAAAAACACGATACATCCGCACCGGTTCTCTCTACCAGAAGAGCACTGATTATGAAACCGAAATCCAGCTGACAAAATATGGGGGCTTGTTTTTTTCTCTGGGGGTGAATAATTGAGCTGAAGTAGAGGGGAAAATAGCTTGAAGGGACATTCTGCTGGAGCTCATCTCACATTTGAGAAAAATTAGCTTTGGTTATAAACAATGCTGGGCGAACTTCCGCTAGAATGTGCACTGTACGCCCAACGTGTGCAGATATCAAAAAGTTTGCTTTTTAATATACAGCTGACAGTATTATTCTACACAGCACAGAAAGGTTGGGGTGACAAATAGGGACATTTACAGGAAAAGGGCGAAAGGACTGCAAAATGAGTCCAATCGGTTGTCTGAACCCTGTTGAAAAATCCAGCATATGCTGGTTAGGTATGTTTTGAAGCATGGCAGGAGCTAGTTGCTTAGGACCAGCACATGACCAGCTAAGAACCAGCTTAAACCAACTCAAACCAGCAGCCATGCTTCAAAACATACCTAACCAGCATATGCTGGTTTTTTCAACAGGGAATGCTATGCGCAGTTAGTGTAACTGACACATATACAAATAAATAAGGTAAGTTCTATTTGTACCGTTCCAGTTGGGATTTAAACCGACATCTCAGGAATGGGAGGCGTGTGAGCTAACAAGCACGCTAAATTCCGTTACATTTACCCCCCTAAAGTTCATTCCCATCAGGGTCACGGCACCAATGTAACCCTTCCTGTTCTACTCAAACCACTCCAAGCGGGATTCAAACAGGCGTCTCCTGCATGGGAGGCAGCGCAGTAACAAGGATGTTAAAACTGTCCTCCATTATAGTAAAAATGCTAACATAATGCACAATTCTAATCACAGTTCTTAAAAACAAACAGAGACCTACATATTTTTTAAGACTGGGTGATATATTGAATGTTCATTATACATTTGTGATCATTTTGCTGCATCATGAATATTGCGAAATTTTAAAGTGCTCCTATTATGCCATTTCGAATATTGCCTTTCATGCATTCTGTAATGTAGCTGTACAGGAATGTAAACAATCTGCCAAAGTTGTAAAGCCGAAGGTGCACGATAAATAAAACTGTCTCCCAAAAGAAAGAATCGACTCTGAACAGCCTAAACGAGTCGTCAGTAATTCCAAACCCACTTCCGTGACGACTACACATCACGGGGTAACACAATTGCATTGTTCTACGTTGACCCATGCTCAAACACTGTAGCTGGTTTGTGTGTTTAACATCATGTCGAGAAGATGCTGTATCCTATGCTGTGAAAGTAAATTTGTTTTATTTTCACTTCCGAAAGATGAGGGTGTAAAGAATCAGTAGTTAAAATTCATTTTTCCCACTCTACTACAGCAGTACAACCCTAATCTTTATTTGTGTTCCAGTCATTTTATTGACGACTGCTTCTCTAATCTCTGGGAGTTCAACACAGGATTCACAAAACGCTTGCTTTTGAAAGATGGCTCAGTACCCAGTTTATTTGGACCAGCTGGCTCCAATAAATCTCAAACTGTAAGTATGATGAATAATAGATGTTCATGTTTTCTATTGAGTGTTCAAAATATGGAGCTATGGCAATGGGCATATCGTTTCCGACACACGATTTACGTGGTAGACCAATCACAACAGACTGGGCTGTCTGACCAATCAGAGCAGAGTAGGAATCTTAGAACTGCTTTGAATGAATAGTTTGAGAATCGTTAGAAAAAGAGGTGATATTAAATGCATATTTTGAGAAAACAAAAGCGTTTTTACCTTGCATGCATATAAACGTATTGTAGGAAACTCCCAAAATAATATCAGGAACCTTAAAAATGGCATAATAGGGGCACTTTAATGCTTTTTTAAATTATTGTAGCCCAGTTTGTCCTGAATACAGTGTTATTAAACTTTAACCATTAATATGTTTATAAGCAACTGAAAAAAGCACAAATGTCAGGGCATGTCAAAATTTCTCCAGGGCCCCAAAACACCCTCAGACCCCAGAGGGTTAAGTTTCCTAAAGAGTTATTTCCTAAAGTGTTTGATTCTCACTTTAAACTATCCATTTCAATGACTTATTTCAAAACCATGGTTAAACGATCACTCAAGATCACCCACAAATGTTTGTGAGATCTCTGTGTGACATTGCTTAAAATTTGTACTCCCATTTTTCGTATACAGAAGGGTTTGGAGAAGATATGTCATTTTGCTGCATATAAATGAAAATTGTTAAATATTTTTATATCGCTGAAAGAACACTATCTAGAAAAATAGTGTGAAAGCATGTCATCTAACTAGGTTTATAATGCATTTGACTTCTTTTATGTAACATTTTGAATACCAACATTTCATTTTGATATTCTGAATAGCTGTTTGGTTGAAATAATGGCCTCTAACCTTCTCACCAATTTCAGAGCAATTCCATTTGGTCAACAGTCTTGAAATGTACTCTCAAAGATTTCATGTAAAAGCAGTCATAAAAGCAAACTAGATAAAAGCCCACCTCATTAACCAACTACTGTAGTTGCTTTTTGGATGACTTGACTATCATTCTGGCCCATCCCTAATAACTACAGTACCAAGCAAACATACAGTTCACATGCCTCTCACCAGAGAAGGTCCCTTTGGCCAGACATTCTTTCACTCGATTGGTGCGTCTCACGTGAAAGGCCTTGGTGATCTCCTGATTCATGAAGGCCTCATCGTTCAGGATATTAGCCACCATCATACGCAGGTCAAACACTTCCAGCAGCTCTGCGATGTGGGCCACCTGCATTAGCTCCTTCTCCCGCTCATCTAGTTTACCTGTATACAGGTACCGCAACACAGATCGGAATGGACCGGGCTGCATTGAAGGGTCCATGTGAACAACGGTCATTTTTCTAGGGTTGAAGGTGACGGGGTCATCCACCATTTCTTCTTGGATGCTAATGAAAGCACGACTCAAGGCTGGGAGCAGACGACCGCGACGATCTCCGTCGCCTTTTAGAGTTCCATCACTGGTGCAGGCACGCAAGTTTGCTCTATCTCCATCGTCACTACTTTCACAAACGTCAAAACTAGCTGCGCGCATCAGCAAATCGCGGCCAGAAAGCGGTGGCCCTCGGGGTCGTTCTCGCTCCCGTTCGATCTCCTCAGGACCCCGAGGTTCGGTCAAGAAGAGGTCGTAGAACTTGGAGGAGGATGTGGCGAGGTAGATGCGGTGGGCGAAGATGGAAGGGGGCTTGGAGGAGTGGCCTTTGAACATTTCGTAAATGTGACTTCCAGAATTGGAGATGACGACGGGAAATGAGGGCTGCTCGGATAGCATTGTCGAAAACGTCCTTAACCCCGAACTGAGCAACTATGCTGGTCTCATAATAAGGGACGCCTAGTTCTTTAGCCACCTCACGGCCTTTCTCTGGCGCCAATATCTCATTGGATTTAATGGGTCTGAAACAAAAAAAAACAGCATTATACTAAAGAACTAGCTTTCCCCACAATGAAAATCTTTATCAGTCATCATTTACTCACCCTCATGACGTTCCCAACGTTCAAAACCAAAAGACTTAACACACAAGGAAAGTGAATGGGTATGGGTCAGGGGTGTCCAATCCTGCTCCTTGAGGGCCAATGTCCTGCACAGTTTAGCTTTAACCATCTTCAACAAACCTGCCTGGAAGTATCTAATTGCTGCATCTGAAAGCTGAAAATGCTGTCTGCGCATCTTGAGGTAGGAAGGCAAGAAGGCACGTCTGAATCCTATGATAGTGTTACATCCTGTCTGCTGAGATACCTTCATCTCATTGATTTTTGAAGGCAGCATATATGTATCCTTTACTGCCTATGATATTCCACAATTCTGTGTGTTCAGTTGACCCTTCGCAAAACTGGTTTGGTCTGGTTTGTTTTTCAGACAAAAAAGGCAGCTTCGGCATTATGATTGGTCAGATCGCCTGTCAGTCAAACTCCCTGCGAAGCATCAATTCCATGACAGTTGAGCCCAGTTTGTTTGCAGATGTATGTTTGTGAACAATTGTTTCAACTTTTGATTTCATTTATAGTGAAAAATATGTATTGTATTAATTAAATATTAACTTAGTTGTGACCAAAGCTTTATATATTTTGTTGGAGATCATTAGACTTTTATGCTGCCTCAAAAGCCTGTCTGAAATCAGTTTTGGGAGATACCTTCATGTACAAATGATACCTGCAAAGTCATTGCTTGAAAGGGCAGAGAGGCAACAAGTCAATTGCCTAAGCTTTCGGGTGCAGCCAGTGAGTCTGAAGACCTGGTTAAGGTGTATTTAATAAGGGTTGGAGCTAAACTCTGCAGCACAGTGGCCCTCCATGAAAGAGCAGGATTAGACACCCCTGGCAAACAGTAAGTGCAGTTGAGCTTCAAATATTACAAGATAGCATCATTAAAATAGCAAAAAATTATTTCATAAATCTCATGCACAATATTATGAAGTTACATGATAGCAGCTTTATGAGGAACAAACTAAAATGTAAGTCATTAATCACTGAAAATCTTCACCTCCACCACTGCTCTCAAATTTCATTAATGTTCATTTAACAAGATACATCACAAAAGTTCAGAACAACATACAAATAATTTTTATTATTTTACTGTTTTAAAATATTGTTACAGACTTTGTAGACTGTAGAATTGATGGGGACATAGGATGCATTCCACTTCGCCTTTAGACACAAACTCGTGAACTTCCCTAAGCACTTCCCCTTGGAAGAAGCCCACTGTCATTTTGAAGTGTGTTCCACTTTGTGAAGTGGATGAAGGAAGTTTATATTGACAGACCCTCGATTTTGACCTAGGGAGCAAGTCTACTTCCTATGTATACTTCAGACAATTCCATAAACCACAGTGCAACACAACTGTGACATTTAATTTTGACGTTGTGGCGTTTAATGTCAAATGTAATTTACCCCCAACCCAAATAATTATATGATATATAAATTATTATTTTTAATAATTAAAACACCCCAAGCATAACTATATACACATAGAATGTTGCATTAAACAAATTTGTAAAGGAAAAAATTTAAATAATATATTATTATAATAAAACTCCACATCGGGTTCCAAGTGATCAAGGGTTTAGGACGTTCCAATTCAGTCCATTGCAAGGGTTCGGCCAGTAGTGAACACTCGTGCAACTCAATCAGCGACGTACATCCGAGTCAATGAGATGGAGAGAAGTTAACAAGGGAAGGGCATAAAACAACAAAGTGGAATGCAGCCATATATTTAACAGTGTTCCCAAACCCATTCCTTGAGGCACCCCAACACTACACATTTTCAATCTCTATCTAATCGAACACACCTGAATCAACTTACTAGATCATTAGTAAAGACTCTAAGACTTTAAATGGATGAGTCAGATCAGGGAAACATCCAGAATGTGTACTGTTGGGTACCTCAAGGAACAGAGTTGGGAAACAAAGGTTTACAACATACAACTGTTGCATTTCTAGCATTAATGGCTACCAACAGTTGCATTTGCCGTCTTAATTTACCTGGCCAGTGGCCGGCGAGCTCTGTTCACTGCCTCCAGGTCGGCGTACCGCAGGTCTAGCTGGCAGCCCACTAGGATAACAGGAGCTCTGGGACAGAAATGCTTGATCTCAGGGTACCACATCGTCCTCACATGGTGGAGTGAGTTTGGGTTTGCAATGGAGAAACACAACACCACCACATCAGACCTGTTCGCAAACCAGAGACAACTCATTAACTTATACAGGTTAAAACTGTTTAGTTTTCTTGGTAACCTTTTTAGGGTCACCTTTGACTTCTGCACAATGTAAGCTTTTCAGTGAGTGCAAAGTTTAATCTGATAAAGTTCTGTGGAATATGACATTATATGAGCATTTACTCATCACCATTTTTTATTAGTACAGGTATAAATAAATAACTTCACAAACCTTCACAAAAGTGGAAAAAAAATATGGGAAAAGGGACAACATTAAAAATGAAGAAGAATAAAACTACCTAATCATTTATAAATTAGTATAAATATAATTAATCTAGTGTGAAGGAGCGAGGTAATCCAAGTTCCCTTTCAGTCAGTCACTACGAGTCACGTCGTGACCGACGAATTGGGATCTAACTTCGAGAGACCAATCTACTTCGAGTGTAACTAAACGAGCCAATGCACATTGGCATGCAATTATTGCATCCAGCTGCCGCTGATCACAGCGTGAGCATAAAAAGGCAGCCGGTGCAATGCATACCAGGCTTTTCGCTTCGGAGCCGAGCAACAACATCGTTCTGCTCCATCCAAGGGTATTCAGTGAGCTACGAGTTCAACGTGCTCTTGGAAGCTTCTGGTGTTGGCGGACGGCGCTTCAGCGGTGGTCGTTCCAGTGTCGAGTGGGTTGCGCACTTCAGGTGTCGTTACCTGGCGCTGAGTGATGGTCATGATCGCTGCCTCCCGTGTCTGGGCATTAAACACGCTGAGGTGGCATTCGTGGATAAGTCATGTTCCCATTGCGGGAAGATGACTATCTCGGAGCTGCGGGCCAGGCTCCGTTTCCTCCAGGGGGGCGGAGCTCCGTTGCCTCTGCCGCGATCTAGTGTTCGTCCTGGCGGCAGCCAGGCGTGGACTACTTCGGGCAGTAGCACGGGCGGTCTGAGGGTTACAGTGGTGGCAAACCCCTCAGGGAACCAACCCTCGGGGGACCATCGCTCCTCTAGCGCTTCGCAACCAGTTGAGCCGCTAAAGGAATGCGCTGGACCCTCTTTAAAGAGCGTACCAGCGGTATCCTTCGGTGCTCCTCCCGACGACCGGATGTCGATCACTGCATCAGAGGGAGAGCTCTCTGGAGAAGAAGATTCGCCTGCGCTGCCGCCCTCAGGGACGGTGGCAAGGCCTGAATCGGATCCAGAGATGTCGGCTATGCTTTCCCGGGCCGCCGAGAGGGTAGGGCTCGAGTGGAAACCTCCACCACGTCCCGGGCCCTCAATGTTGGACAATTGGTTTCTCGGGGTGGCTCGCGCCCCGCCTCAGTGCCTTTCTTCCCGGAGGTGCATGAGGAGCTCACCAGGTCATGGACGGCACCTTTTACTGCCGGAAACCGACCTGCTGGTTCCTCCTCCCTCACCACCCTCGACGGTGGTGCAGCTAGGGGTATACAAGGGTCCCCCCGGTGGAGCGGTCGGTTGCGATGCAATTGTGTTGTAATACCGCCTCCTGCCGGCAGGGCGAACCATGCCTCCTCTCTCGGGTCTGTAGGTACTCGTCTGGCCTGTCCGGCGATGCTTATACGGCCTGTGGAGAAGCTGACTCCGCCTTACACGCTACGGCATTACTGCAGGTTAAGGCACTGAGGGACCTGCACAAGGGTGGTCGTGATCCAGAAGTTCTGAAAGAGCTCCGAACCGCTACAGACCTCGCGCTCCGAGCGACGAAGGTCACCGCGAGTTCTCTGGGTCGGAGAGTCGCGGACGGCCCAACACCGGATCTCACTCATCCTCCTCCTTCACTAGCCGGCAGCAGCGGGCGGTTCGAGAGTGTCAACAAAGGCCCTACTCACGCACCCTCTGCCAAACTGTGGAACCAGGTAAGCGT